TATAATAGCTAAATAGCTATCATAAAATGTCTTGACAGATATTTATTTTCCTTGTCAACCTAGAGAATGCAGCAAATGTATCCTTACGATTCTGCAGAAGTAATACAGACTGTCCACCACAGCAATGCCTACAATACGTGGCGTTAGACGATCCCAGTATAGGTAACAAAGACTAACGTAACATTCTATTTAGGAGGTGCAGTTTGAAGCAAGGCCGGCGTCTGCACATCCATTTTTGCATATTATGTATCGACAGGCCTTGCTAACTGTGAAGGTTCCGCCCCGAATGGAATTCCAACGGAGAGCACCCCTGAACATCACGAGGGTCTCCCACCCCTCTTCTCCAACCATGGAGGTAGGAAGTAAGATGTAGTAGCCCTAAACAGGTATCTCCCGTACCCTGTTTTGAAGCATCGGCGATCCCTACGTGGTGACCAAAACATTGGGTCATTTACCATTAAGTTCAATGGGTTTTGACGCGATCGGATGTAAATATTTTGTAATTACGTCGTAAATATATATATAAATGTATATATTTTCTTTTTCTACAACACTTCAGAGTTCTAAGTATATGAAAACAACATATTTTTAAACAACATTTCATTCTGAATGGAATTAAATGCTATACTTTTCGCAGAACAGTTTTCTCAGAATGGTTTAATTTGAATGAAATATTTTCACAAGTTTTCGTTAAATATATTAGGAAAAAAATTTAAGGTAATTCGATTTTATTCGGTTAAGGTACAAAAATTAAGATCAAAGTTTATTGTATTATTAATATTAAAATTATGCATTATTTCTTTTCTATTTATAGAGCTTCTTCCTAAAATACTTTCTTAAATATGACATGATTTTTTGGCTTCTGAGGCATCTTTTAAATCGAAAAATATAAGTCAATTTATAATTAGAGCTCTATTCGGTTCATTTTAAATTAGAGAATTATTAAAAATTAGCGAAATACTTTAAATGTTTAAATAGTACTTAACTTTCTCTGAACATTTCTGAAAGGGAATAAAATAAGAATTTTTTAAAGTATTATTTAAAACTTTTAACTGAGTTATTATAAAATGTAAAGGGAATAATTATTTTAATTATATTTATCAGATTTTTTACCATTAATTTCAACAATACATATTCCAAAACTCTTTATTACTTTCTTAAGTGCGCATCTCATAGCATTTGCGTTACAATGCCTTTTAACGGATTGCTTTCCAGTACGAACAATTCTTGCTTAAACATTTTTATAACATATTTGTCAACAAGATTTCAATTTATGTTTACAATTCAATATTAAGTTTATTATATATTTAGATAACATTTATAATCATTATAAATTAGATACGTTTAATAATTAGATTTCTTCACAGCTGTTTATAAATGAATAAATTCTTCATTTCAAATACATTTATAAATAATTTAATGAATATTTATGTATTTTGTTAAAGGCAGATACATGCTTTTTGCAAGCACATGCATAAATACCCATACATATTTCATATTTTTCATTTCCGGCATGTGCAAATCTTTAATTTCTGTGCATTCACTATATTTTATTTTTAATTAACCCGAATAAGTAAAACGTGTAAGCCCAAAGGGATTGTTTTTCAGATATATAAAATTAAAATGATTAGTTTAAAATGAGCAACAGTAAAGCCTCTCCTCTAAAAACTTTTAAAAGGTACATGTTACAATAATATATGGATATGAAAAAAATGTATTTTATTTAAAACATTTTGGCGTTTGGAACATAAAATAAAAGTAACGAATAACTCTATCAAGAGTATCGAAAGACGTATACAATTTTAAAGGCACCGTAAGGTATTTTTCATTTTTTAAGCATAACAATTTTGTTAAAATTTATATTTTTGTAGTTCAACAGCTTAGAATTTTATAAAACAAATTCATAATCAAAATCGCTGTTGTTAGTTATCGAAAAATAACCAAGATGTGATTTTTGCGTAAATGTCACTAAACTATACAAATTGCTATTATCTATCACACTATGAATTTTTCTTTCATGTGAAAGTGTCCCCTTTTCGATTTGTATGGAACTGTCGTGTGTCGAAATACTATCAAAATACTGTCAAGCGAGCTTCTGAATGTAAACAAAGAACACCCCATCTGGTGACCGAAGCTTTGAAGCAGTGTTTCACTTCTAGTGCCGGTTGGCGACTCCTTCCTTTCTTACCTCCATGTCTCCAACCATTGACCCCTCGTGAGGCTTTCGGACGGCCGTGTATTTTGAGGGCCCGCTGCAGCACTTGCAATCACCGGGAATCGAATTCGGATACTTCAATACGGTGTTCAGGGACACTGACTATTATCCCGTCTGGCTAATGATGCTGTATAACAATGAGATATAAATTCACTCATTAGCAATTTTGGATGAGTTTTATATGCTTTTTCTCTGCAATGATACGAAATACAATTTCCAACAGCTGGACGAACTATACAGTTTACATGAACTTTATTTCGTTAAAAGAAAATAAGAACTATTATAAATATTGAATTTTTCTCAACCTTAAAATATTATATTGAGAACTTTAAAAATACTCTGAAGCCGGTACAAACATTCAGAATATTTATAACTCAACATCAGTATATTAATCCAAAATTCATTAGAAACTTAAACTGGCTTTTTAAATCCTCCGAATACATAAAATCTCTAGCAAATAAACCATGTTGAATCCTGATTATAAATGTGGTCTTTCACTACATATTAGTCGCACTTTTTATATAATTTTACTATCCATACTAATGAAAAACTTAAAATCTGCAGAAAGTATGAAACTTGAATAAGCTACTTCTCAAATAAACTTATAATTTACACAGTTCATACTGAAGTGTCCTCTGCTTTCTCTTTTTCGTTAGTGAATATTTTTAAGATTTCAAAACACAATGTCAGCTTACGATTTATATCCACAGTGGTTATAAAAAACTTCTTCGATATACGAACTACTAACGGCTTATCCGCTCGGTCAATCGAAACGAAATTTCAAATACTGTTACTTGAAAGAATGTGCTCGAGATTGTATTGATTTTAAACAATAGAGTTCTAACAGTTATGGTGACAGTGAAAACATTTCGAGATTTTCGAATGGCAATACCCACAATTTTCTTGTGCAAATTGATACTCTCACGGAATAGCTATAAATAGCTTTGGAATGATACATGCATGACGAAAATTGCGGCATAAAACAATTGAAAAGAAGAGCATTCTAAAGGACCAATGACACACAAGAGAGGAGACGGAAAACTTTTTTTTATTGGAAATACAAGTTGTCAGCGTGCCAATTTTCGCAGACGAAAATGCACTGCATGCGGTAGATTGTTGACAACAATGACGAAAGTAACATCGCAAGAGGAATTTATATAGCTTCGCGTTTTATGCTATCTTTCAATTCTGACAAACGTCTTGGATTTGCTGCTGTGTATACCTTAGATATTAGATAACCCCAGAACCTTAAATAAATCGGAGTGAGATCGGCAATTTTAGTGACCACGAATCTCCGAACTTATGGGAGGTAATTTCATCTCCAAAGTTCTGTGGCAGCACTTCCTTAAAATTAAAAACACAGCCACACCTTAGCACAGTATGTGGCAAGGTGTGGAAGAGCAACTTCTTTCATCCATGAAGTGTCATTAACATTTCGCTGCTGCAGTTCTGGAATTATGTTATTCTGCCACATTGTTGTACACCCAGAACTTGTGATAGATCAAGTTTTCATACCAATAGAAGTGACCTCTTCGAGGGAATACAGACCAAGAACGAATGAGCTTGTGATGCCGTACCAGACAATTACTTAAGCGTTATGTAAAAGCATTGGTGCACAACCGTGAGGACTTTCATCAGCCCAGTGAACACAGTTCTTGGGTTTACATTCCCGGTTAAAGAGAAATGGCTCTTAGTCGCTTATAATAACCACAGCGGCCATCTGCTATATTAATTGTAAAGTTGAAGCGCTGTTGCTGATCTCCAGATCCCAACATCTGAACGTGTTGGAATCAAAAAGAAAACATACGCTCAACAGAACTCAGAAGCTTAAGGACTGCAGTTTTCGATATATCCAGACTGCGAGAAACACTTCTTGCAGCATAACGTTGGACCTGCAGTAATCACATTACGTGTTTACGCAACAACGCCAGCAGAAATACATGGTCGTCCGGATAGCAGTCTATCACATGCGCATGCAGTTTCTTCAACTATTTTTTATCAAATCACTTACAGTTTTTGGCACCGTCTTAGCTTATCATCTCGCCGATGAACTCACACTGCTTCGGCAATATTCTCCTGTTCAGATAAAACAGCTCTATCAATTCGCTTGGTTGTTTGTAAGTGTCATCTTGCTAGCACGTTCGAACACCTGATTGAAGAAATAATATTCCCACCCTTCTTATTAAAGATTTGCATCAAGCCATGCTTTGTACATAATGTTCTGTGATTGATACTTCTACTATCTATATCACTGTGAATTATGCAAAGCGCATAAATGCTCCTTCTTTTCTTTTAGCAACTACTATCATTGATCCTTTAACTTGATCCTTCTTTGGAAATGTTTTGCGTCGGCAACTTTCGTCATATGTGTATCGCTTTATAATAATAAAGCCATTTATGGTTTTTAAATGCACTAATCTATTTGTACGGGGAAAAAGTGTGTGTTGCCATTCGAAAATTTTAAAATATCACTGTCACCGTAAGCGTGAGAGTTCTACTGTTTTAATTTATCACAGTGTCGAGCACATACCTTCAAAGTACAAGACACTAATAAATTCAACCAATCGAAATTTCATTTTGACTGGTTGAGCAGCTAGGCCGCTAGGGGTTCATTACCAGGGAAGCCATTTGATGACCAGCCCGCATACTTTGCTCCGCAATTACAATCAATGTGTCTTCATTAAATAGATTAAAAGTGAGTTTTCAGCAATAAGCTAATTTATACATATAGCAGCATTCTAACCACTGTTAAATAACTAATGAATTTTTAAAATAAAATGCTTACAGGCAAAATACACGTGAAATGCTTACAGCGTTTTCAGGTTTATGATACTAAGACTTCTTCAGTCCATCTACTAACTTCTTGGCACTGGGTTATCGCATATGTTTTCCCTGAAAATACAGATGCAGGAAAAATTAAAAAATTGACAAGAACAAAATCATAAATATCTGTATTTTTCTCTGCTGTTATTCAAAATTGTCATTTAAAATTTTAAATCAATCATTACACTATAGAAGAAGATAGCACTGAACATAAAGATATTATTATGCAGTAAAGCATATAAATATTTGTATGACGCTCTAATAAATTACCGAACTATCCCAAATTGAATATAACAGCAAACTTAGCAAATACCTCTCTATCTATAACTCTAGAAGATAATTACGATAAATAAGATAAATTTACTAATTTTAAAATTCATTAATTAATAATTATAGCATTGTTTTCTTCAGAAAAGAATCTAACGAACTACTCAAATTTAAAATTTATGAAGCATACCTCAATCTATCAATTAAAAAGACAAAAATAATTGTCAGTAATCGTATTTGAATCTTCTTTAAAGTAATAATAATAACGTTGTGACAGTTATTTTAAAGTTTTAATAACAATTAATTTGAATAAAACTATATCATTACCTTCTTGATTAATGTCAGAATGTTCACTCAGACCAAAAGATTTTAAAATTTAATTAAGCTACAACTGATCTAGTAGCTAGTAACTTGAGTTTATAGTGTAGATAACCATATGATTATATTTAACATTAGATTTTTTTGTAAATAACTCAAATCTTAACTATCACGACAAGTAGCCTCATGTTTAATATTTTACTTAGCATGTGTTAATATTTCAGTTGTAACACAACGAGAGAGGTTTAATAAATTTCAGTTTTTCTTGTGATTTTTGTTCGCAGTTAAAGTTGATACGGATAAGGGTATGTTAGACCAATACATGATCGACAGTTTAGGGTAATTATATTACACTAAATATTCGGTAAAAGTTAATTTCAAACAGCAAAAGTTATATTATAGTAAATATTGACTTATGATCTTTACACGGAAACTTAAGTTTCATAAGTTATAGTTTGATCATAAAATCACTAGCCTTTTGAATGAAATTCTGAAATAGATTTAAGATAAACTAATAAGCAGAATGACCAGAAATCTAGCAACTATTATTCTGAGGCACAAATAAACGTACAACAAAGAGAAGAAAATATTATGGGTTGATATCATCCACATACGATGTTGTTTCCAAAAAGAAAGAAGGGAAAGAGAAACAAAAAAAAGAAAATTTTACCTTTAGTTGTTAATTTAATTGTTTTTTAACTTTTTCCTAAAACAATTTTAAAAAAATTCCTAAAATTCCTAAAAATTTAAATTTCACTTATCTGTTTTTATTTATTAGATGTAAATACAGATTTTAGATTCAAGACAGGAGTTGCTTTATGCTAAACGTCCTCTATAAAGGCATCCGTCTCCTTAGGCAGATAGACCTCATGTGCTTTGCCACAGTCAATTAAACCAAATAAATCAAACCTGAATGCGAGTCACTTTTCCCCTTGCTTGACTAACATCATTATTATTATTTTAAAGATGACCGACACTCACGTGGCTTTCTTCTGTGTATCATTCATTATCTATAGATGTGCTAAGTATCAAATACATGTGATGCATATTGCGTCCATAATGATGCAAATCATATTATGCGTCTTAAGAATCACCTTTATTCAATAATAATTTTTTTTGAATCTACGGCTATATCGATCTGCAACTGTCATCCATCTATATACGCAATAAATGTCTCCAATCAATTGCACTTATCGCCAAGATATCACATACACTGTACTCTCGATTATCCGGGCTAATGCTGGGGAAGCCGATCACGTATAACTGATAAACACAGATAAAACATGTTATCAATTTCATGCACATTGTACGTATTTATTTCTTAAAAACATCAGTAACTACTATGTTTTTGAGAACGTTTAAATATCTGTCGGATTCCCCCCCCCCCTCCTCAGGAACCAGGTACAGAGGTTCAACCTTCGCCTTGGCCCCTTGGAGAGAGAGAGAGACGCACAGCCTGGGGTTAATTACCGCCAGATAGCACTGGGCGCTAATTTGCTACCTACCAATCGCTCCGTCTACTCGTCGCAGCGGGACATTACCTAGCGAACCCGAAGACGCTACACAGCGGGCTACTAGAACCACGCCGCGCAAAGGATCAAGGATCAAGGAAGTTCGTGTTACCAAAGAATCTTACGGAGTTCTTAGGCCGTAAACGCCTTTACCTCCACATCATCTGAAGAATAAATTGTCACCATCAAAGACCACCGGGCCAGCCAATAAGTGACCTTTCCGGGGCCTTCAGAACCACCAAGTTTATAAATTTTGTATCCCTGTGTCTGAGACTGCCTAGGTCATGGAGGTAGGAAGTAAGTCCTTTCTTACCTCCATGGCCTAGGTACAGATCCTAGCCAGTAGCTTCGCAGAGTTCTCTACGTCGATCTCCGGGGGGGGGTAGACTGCCCGTCGCAGAGGGACATTACACAGCGAGCCCGGGTCACTACCCCCGGGCTACTAGAGCCTCTCCGCTCAAGGACCACCGGGCCGGCCAGTGAGTGATTTTTCCGTGTTCTCCAGAGCCACTAGGTTCATAAATTTTATATCCCCGTGGCCGAGACTGCCTCGGTACAGATCCTAGCCAGTAGCTTCGCGGAGTTCTCTACGTCGACTTCCGGGGGGAAGCTGCAAGGGAAGTAACCTCATTGACCGAAGAAGATAAATTTTTGTGAAAATAAGAAGTTTCAAAGGAATCCAGGCTACAATGACTTTCTTTTTTCATTTCTTTTCTTTTCTTTTTTTTTTTTTCAAACTCTTATAAGGTATTTCTCCTGCCTTCTTAGCATGCCTCCGTGGTGTAATGGTCAGCACGCTCGGCGCGTATTCGAGAGGTCAGTGGTTCGTGTCCCTGCTCATTTTTCATCTCTCCTGCTTCGAAACAACCTAATGTCTCTACAACCTTCTTTGTTTCTGGAAAAGAGACACTGATGCCTAATTACCCTTGAAATAGCTAGTGTTTTATTTATAATCTAGGCTAAACTAAAATTGCCTTTTCCCCCATAATTTTATGTTTTACAATACCATGTTTTTCTTCCAATTTGAAAAATCATCCATAATTTCCAGAACAGTAATTCATTGCATATCCATACATTAATGAAATTTTCCTTCATTTATTATAGAATTAGTCAAAACGAATTTTTATTCCTTTAAAATTTTTTATTTATATTTTTTTTTTTTCCTTTTGGTAAATTCCTTTTAAAAATTATCAGTTTTTTCTAAGTATGTGTTGTAAATAAGAATTGCAATCAATTTTCCTCAGAATAGCTTAAGAAATTAGTCCTGTGTAATTAGAATTTGTATATAAATAGAATACCTTAATTGCACCATCTGCATGTTTTTCATTATTAACGAAGCGTATATTTTCTGATTGCTGTCCAAAAACCATAAAGATTATGAATTTAGTAGCCACACGAAATGGCTGTTCTTTTTTACGTATAATGTATTGCTTTTGGTAGTTTCTCACGTAACAATATTTTTGGAAAACAAAAGACTTTTTATGCGAAAAAAAGCATTCTTTGATCTTGCCAGAGCATAATAGAATGTCTGACTGCCACACCTACAGAAAATAATGAACGTTAGATCCTTGGCAGCATTTAACAATACAGCGACGAGGAATGATTGAATATTAACATCATGCAGGAAGGAAAATTAATTTGAGATTCTATGCATTACTGAAGAGAGAATAAATTAAGGTAATGTATTCTTGTCCCAACAATAAGTTTTCACCCTTTCCCCTTTCCTTCAATAGAGCCCACCTGATTTGCTGCACATCAAGAAATAAATAGTGCAATAATCTTAGATTATTTATGACTATTTCATAAAGAATTCCTTGCGAGATGAAAATAGTTTAAAGAATCTGAAAACTACTTCGATTTATAATTTAGAGAACAAAATCGATTTATAACAATTTTGATTCTGCACGTATCATATGCATTTTTACAGTTGTTTAATTTAATTGACAAAATTGATTTAAAATTACATGCGTATACGTAAATTATATTTAAGTAATATATTCAATTTCTGCTATGCGATTGAATTTTTTTTTTTTTTTCAATATAAACAATTTGAGCATTATTGCTAGCCTCATATATGGAGAGGAAATATGTTTACATAGAATTTTAAAGCAGGCCAAATGGTTAAGGAAGCCTATAAGGTATTTGCCTTCTTAGCATGCCTTCTTGGTGTAGTGGTCAGCACACTCGGAGCGTATGCGAGAGATCCGGCGACGGCATTGCTCATGTTTCATGTCTCTTGCTTCGAATCTTGGTTCGAAATACCTAATGTCTCTACAGTGGCGCCCGAACTAAAAAAAAAAAAAAAAGGTGGTGGATGATGATTCTTCACCTTCAGGATTTGGCGAATGGATCCACTAATCCCCAAACGGCCCTTAAAAGGGGTAGTATATAAGGTATTTCTCCCGGCCTTCTTAGCATTCCTTCGTGGTGTAGTGGTCAGCACACAATGCTCATTTTTCATATCTCCTGCTTCGAAATACCTAACGTCTCTACAACTGCATACCTATTGCATACCGAAGAAGCCGGGTTCGAATCCTGGAGAAGGCATGGATATTTGTAAATGTATAGTGCCTTTGTAGCCATTAACCAGAGTGTTAGAATTAAAAGTACATGTACTAATTAAAAACTTGAAACTTGAATTGAAATTATTAATTACTGCTTAAAATTTAATGAAGTTCAAATTAGTAGCTAATTGGCATTCAGTCATGCTACATATATCAAATATTTTATAATATCGGATAGCTTAATTTAGTCAGAGAACAATAATTAATTAGAAGACAAACAACAAAAATCAGCGTTATATTTGCAATTTTTCCAGAACTAGTTTCGATGATTTTACCGAGCCACCAGCCTCAGCTGCCAAAATGCAAATGAAAGTATAGTGATAAGATAAGGATGGCTGGGGAGGTATTAAGCTCCTGACGCCATCTGTTGATGAAACAAGAAAACTAAAACATAATTTCCTTAAAGGAT